CGGCTTCCGCGGGCTGCGCCGCTCGCTCGCTCGCTCGCTGCTCGGCCGGGGGCAGCGGGACGCGGGTGCGGATCCCAGGCCCCGCTCGGGCTCGCCGTCGCCTTCACGGCCCGTCCCGCAGCCCCAAGCCGCGGAAGCCCGAGCGGGAGAGAAACAAAAGGTATTTGCTGACGTGGGCGTTGGACAGAGACGCCCGAGGGCTGGGGACACAATTAAAGGGGCAACGCACCGATTGCAGGCGCAGCCCAGCAGCTGCCCCCGCCGGAGCTCGCCCTGCAGCCCGGCTGCTTTCCTCTTCCCACGCCCACATGCTCCCCACGAGGCCCGGAGCATTATTTTCCGCAATAAATCGTTCTCGTTGAGCATCTGTCTGCAGGCCATTGTGCAAGCGAGACAGAAGACTGGATTTCACGGATCCGGGGTCGTTTGGCTTGGGGAATGGCAGGCGTGCTTAGCTTTGTACTTGGGGGAGGTTTTCGACCAACGGGAGGGCAGGTGACATCTGCAGAACTGACACTGGAAGTGTTTTGGTTTTGCTTCCCGTTTTTCTTCTCCCCCAAAAAAGAAATGAGAAGGCACGTGGCGGGTGGAGCTGCAGTCACGATCGTCAAATCACACCACCGCCCGACAGGATCGAAGTGGAAGGCTGGACTCAGTTATTACTAGTCTTTTAAAAAGCAAGATGAGAGCAGTGAGTGACTTAATGGCTTCTAAACCTTTTTTCCTCCCAACTTCTCGTTTTGGGCGTAAGAGGCTTCTTCTTTCGTGTTGCTTCCCATTCTAACTTTAAATCAACTTTGTAGTACTCCATGTTAAAAAATAAATAAATAAAAAAAAAAGAAGAAGAAGAAAAAGAAACTCTGTTTCTTTGCATTTGCAGAAGTTGCAACTGAGATGGCAAAAACTAAGTTGTAGTTCAGTTATGGGAGTTTTCTCATAAGATGATAACACAACAATCGAGGATAGGGTTTATAGACAAGCAACCCGGCATAGAAGACTCTTGTTAGTAACATACTGAGTTCTGGTATGGAAGAAATGCATGTATGATATAGTGACCTAAACTTTTTAGTGGGAACAATGCATTGGTGGTGTGGGGACATTTTACAAATGTAATTTTGTTGTCAGTAACATTTAGAAAATTCACATTTGTTCACTTTTTACTATAATTATAAGGAGGTGTTCCATCATTTCTGTACAAAATAACAAATGGGTGTGCACATGCTGTTATGATAGCAATCTAGTATCTTCATCCATCTTTCCTGAGAGAGTCCACAAAAATACTGTGGGCAATCTCAGGACATAGTACCTAATTGGTACCCGATTACCAATTGTCTCTGATAAAATCCCAGTGATATTCTCTATCTACAGTGTGGCAAGTAATAAATTAATGTACTTCAAATCATTTTATAGATCATTTGATTAGAAACAAGAAAAAGCATACAAAATGAACTTTTGGGCACTCTAGAGTAAAATTTACTTTTACATTTCTTTCTTGTGTCAAATGGTCAGAAGACACAGATGCTAGCTCCGACTTCATGGAAGGCAAAACCATGCCCTATGTCAGTGTAGTTAGTGATGCAAGCAGTCCACTTAACAATACAGGGTGGATTTCTAATATTTTGAACTACCCTATTTAATTGTAGCCAAAAGTAGTTTGAAAATACATTACATATTAACCACTGTAGTGCTGACTGGCCTTATTTGGACTAGATGAACAAGGAGTGTTTTTTCAAGCAAGTCTGTTTAATCAAGTTGTTTTAGCTGTAATCCTCACTGAACACCATTGAAAACACAATTCAAAACTACTAGACTTTGGCAGGCCAAATTAGATGTTAAAGTATTTTGGTACTGTTATGCTGGTGTTAGAAAATATTATCAAAGGGAGTGCAGGATCCATAAACAGTCATTTATCTCATTAGAGCCCAAATATGTGACAAGCCAGCTTTCAACTTGATGGGAGAGCAAATCAGTCCCCTTTAAGTAGTAAAATAGGCTGAGTGGTACTGGGAGGTTGCTTAAAGCCCTAGGCTATGTGATGGTTCAAAGGTTAATCTGATTGCATATAGAGGTTGTGTGTTATAGAAATTGTGTGTTTTAGAGGCAGAAGGTTGGAATAAGTAATGAGTGTGAGTGACCCTGAGAAGCAGAGGGATAGGGGTTCTTGGACACCTTACTGAGGGTGCCGGAATGAACCATCCCAGTGTGCAGGGAAACTAGCAAGCATGACAGAAGACCAGCCTGACTTAGCATGGAACTTCAGTAAGCTAAAACACAGAAACAAAGCTTACAAGAAGTAGAAACTGGACAAAAAATGGGAAGAGTATAAGAGCATTGCTTCAGCATGCAGGGATGAAATCAGAAAGGCCAAAGCATAATTACTAGGGCTGTGCAAAATGGCACCGTTCCGTTTCAACTTGAGTTTGGAGGTTTCCATGGAACAGCATTTCGTTTTGAATTTCATTTCAATTTGAAACAGCTGTCCCATTTTGCTTTGTGGAAACAGTGAGGCTGTATTGATGCTGTTTCGACGTTTTGCCCATTAGCTATAATGGGGAAGCTCAAAACAGCCTCTCTCATCTGGCAGGCAGATCGGAGCTGCGGGGGACTTTACATCCCCAGCTCGATCTAGCAGGGGGGATGGGAAGTCAGCCCATGTGGGCTGACTTCCCATCCCCAACCTGATCACAACGCCTGGGCTCAGTTCCCTTCCCCTTCACTGTGACTGGCTTCCTGCAGCCTGGCCGCAGGAGACAGGGAGAGCCACAGCTGCACTCCCAGCTGCTGCTGGGATCGCAGCCCTGGTTCTCCCCCTGGCTGCTTTGAAACTCAAAACATTTCAAAACTTTTGAAATGTTTTGACTAGCCTCATTTTGTTTTGAGGTTGTTTTGAAGTCCTCTGTTTCGATTTGATTTCACCATTTCGAGCTCAAAATGAGTCAAAACAGTGTCAAATCGAAACAGCTGGCGAAATTTTGCACAGCCCTAATAATTACAGTTGCAGCTAGCAAGGGACATGAAAGGTAACAAGAAGAGTTTCTACAAGTATGTCAGCAACAAAAGGAAGATCTGGGAAAGTGTGGGTCCCTTACTAAATGGGGGGAGCAATTTAGATGGTATGGAAAATGGTGAAGTACTCAGACTTCACAGGCAAGGTCACCTCCCAGACTACTGCAGCTGGCAGCATAGTTTGGGGAGAAAATGAGCAGCCAACAGTGGTGAAAGAACAGGTTAGGGACTATTTAGACAAGTGGACATATACAAGTACATAGGGCTGGATGCAGTGCACCTTAAGGTGCTGAGTTGGCTGATATGGTTGCAGAGCCTCTGGCCATTATCTCTGAAAACTCATGGTGATCAGAAAAGGTCCCAGATGATTGAAAAAAGGCAAACATAGTGCCCATCTTTAAAGGGAAGGAGGAGGAACTGCACGCCCATCAACCTCACCTCAGTGCCTGGAAAAATCATGGAGCAGTTCCTCAAGGAATCCATTTCTATGCACTTGGAGGGGAAGAAGGTAATTAGAACTGTCAGCATGGATTCACCAAAGGCAAGTCATGCTTGACCAAACTGACTGCCTTCTCTGATGAGATGGCTGGCTCTGCGGATGCAGGGAGAGCAGTGGATGTGGTATACCTTGACTTTAGCAAGGCTTTTGATATGGTCTTCCACAACATTCCTGCAAGCCAGCTAAGGAAGTATGAACTGGATGAATGGACTGTAAGGTGGATAGAAAACTAACTGGATCATCAGGCTCAAGGGGTAGTAATCAATGGCTCGATGTCTAGCTGGAAGCCAGTATCAAGTGAAGGGCCCCAGGGTCACACTTGTTTTGTTCGATATCTTCATCAACAACCTGGAAGATGGCACAGAGTGCACCTTCAGCAAGTTTACAGATGACACCAAGCTGTGGGGAAGTAGTAGATACACCAGAAGGTAAAGTTAGGATTCAAAATGACCTAGTGAAATTGGAGGATTGGACCAAAGAAATCTCATGAGATTCAATAAGGACAAGTGCAAAGTCCTGCGCTTAGGATGGAACAATCCCATGCACTGGTGCAGGCTGGGGGCTGACTGGCTG